CTCATCAAAAGTTGATCAAGGTCGGATTGCTAATTGGAATTGGAGGGAGGAGGCGCGTCAATTGATAAGGCGATCAATCGGAAGACGAGGGTTGTAAGAGGGTACGAGGGGGTATGAGCTACCTCGGATAGAGAGAAGCGACGTGAAGGAGAAGTGGCGGTGGTATCTCAAAGAAGCATTTAAAATTTAACTAGATGTTTGATGAATTAAAAGTAATGCTGTAATGGCTTTTTGGTGGCTGCACGAAAGAACGGGTGCCTTTAGTGTCGTATTGTTGGGTGTATGATCAGAAGATGTTACAATGCAGGTTTTGTAGGCCGACGTCAACAAAACATTTGTCCAAATACCAAATATATTTCCTTGAAGGAGACCACCAGAAGTTTATTAACTGCCCTGAAAGATATGAGATTTTGGGAAATATAGAAAGTGGTCCGTGTCCCACGTGTCCCATCTTTCGGGGTAGGTATGAAGTACCTAAATACGTAGATATGTACTTCTGACAAGGTAGCCCCGTCAGCCGCATGCTATGTACATATATGTACCAGAGATTGGCAGCAGATACAGAGCAGGCCTGACGTACTATGCAGTATTGTACAGCTAATTTAGCGTCACCGCTGGCCTGAGTGGGTCGATACCTGCAAGCTTTTGATGCCTAAATCGGGTCAGCTAAGAGTTCCACAAGGCAATTATATAATCAACTTCTATTAAATGATTTTGATATTAGGTAGACTTTATATTTGGTTACCTAACATATGTATATCAACCTTAACACATAAAGGGTAACGTATTGTCCTTGTCTAAGACCTCTGGTCGTGTCAATGTTTATGGCGAACCAACTAGAAATTTCACGTTCCACTATAAATCATGACTCCTACAAGAGAAAATGGGATGTGTATGGGAGCTGTAAGTAACTCTGCATTAACTTATAGAGGTATGTAAATGAGTATACTTTGGTAGTATATATATACTATCATGGCTCTACAAGCCTTTCGATACCACCCTTGCTCCACGCCGAGATACGTTTTTGATCACAGGTTTCCCATAATCTTCTAAGCACCGCCTGATACACCCCGCGCTCAGTAGCGTCTGCTGCCGTATCCCTCTGCGCCAAAAGCCAGCTCACAACTCCGAACCTCGTAATCAAAGTATCGCTCCCCCCTTCGATACTCGACATCCTGTAAATGATCCTCAAGATTTGCATCCTCAGATTAGGACCCATAAAGGGATTGGATGCCAGAGCAAACAGCCTCTCGGGAACTCTGCGTTTATGGAATAGAGCCACGTCCGCGGGCGTTCGTAAGCTTTCGAGCAGGAAGCCCAAGAGCCAGCTGACTTCGGAGTAGAAAGCCCCATCTTCGGTTGGGCCCTCTTGGAGGATATTTTGTATAAGAGGTATCTTGTCTAACGACCATACCGGCCCGCTAGTGAGGAACAGATTGACCTTCTCGTACAGACTGTGTAAGGGGTTCATTAGAACTTCGAGGGCCTTGCAGGCAAAGGCGACCATCACACTCGGTAATGGCCCGTCGGTAAGCGAATCTCGTGCTGATTCACTAAGTTCCATAAGCAGGAGCCAGACTTGTTCGTTGTTCTCGTATGTTGAATCCTTGATCTTCGCAGCAACCTTGACTATGTTTATGAGTGCTTCTTTTCTGATGCTCGAATGCTCAGACAAAAGCAAGCGAATTAATGAAGATGCATACCCCTCCTCGACAAGTTCTTCGGGTGTTTTGGACGCCCATTTAGACAGAGAATTATCCTTGCTCGTTATGATTGGCACTGCCAGTCTCTGTTCTAGGTCCTGGGGACTGATTTGTGCGATTGAATCGCTGTCCACTTCTTTAGCAGCGTAATTACCCTGCCCATTAAGATGCAAGGCATTATGATTCGGGTCATGTTTTTGTGCTTCTTGTATGAGTTTCTTCCTTTTTGGGACGCGTAACTTTTCTTTGAGCTTCTGATCTGTAAGGCCAGTAGAAAAGAGCTCCTTCGAAGCATCTATGAAAGGCTTGCTTACACCAGCGGCAAGTGAGTGTCCAAGGTATTCCGAGAGGAACTGCACAAATGCTTTTGATGTGGCCTTGCTAGAGGACGATGAACTGAAAAAAGGTATCTGCTCCGCAATCGTCATCATGAGAGGGCAAGTAACTGTATCTTCGTCTTCAGAGATCTTGGCTTTATCTAGCTGCTCTTCGATCATCTCAAGGTATTTGACCGGGGTCCTAGCACAGCGCTCGACACAGTTATCCAGGAATATCCAGATCGCTGGATCGACGGTCTCAAGGCTCCTCAATGCTGCAATCAAGGGATATAGCCCTGGAGAGTTTGGTTGGTCTTCTACCAATTGATGTTCGCTGGCAACCCAATACAAGACACTATCTAGGCTCTCATTAGATAATTCAGTTGTCTTTTCGACAGATAGTCTCAAGAGGGTTGTAAAGGGAGAATGGGGTATATCGGAGGTTCGAGCAAACCACCGCATGTTTGGGGAGTATTTCGCAATTGCGCATAAGTTTTCGAGTTCTAATAGAGACATCACTATATCTTCATCTGCTCTATCGGATGCCTCAACTCTCTTGATAGTAAATGACAGTATTGGTGAAACATCGAACTTGGCCCTTAAGGCAACCTGGGGGATGACTTCATAATAGAGTAATAACAAGCGACTTGCTGCTTGTCGTTGAAGTAAATCATCCTGCTCCATGGCAAGATAACATTTGATAACATCCTTGATGTCTGGTATCCTTTGGTAAAATTCGTCCAAAAGCCGGCGAGCTGCCTCTTCCCAAAGAGAATTAGATGATGATGATGCCTCTCGATACATCTCTAGAGCTCGGCCTAACTTTTGCAAAGCTAATATTAAGAGACGGATGGCATAAAAGGAAGCTAACTTAGATTTGATAGAAAGACATCGCGTTATAGCTTTCGGCGTCATGGGTAATGGGATTATGTTTCCAAGTACCACAGAAGTAGGAGGTGGGATTCTTGCATAGCCTTTAGGGTGTCCAAACCAGGAGGGAATCGGTAACTGAACAACATTGTAAAGTAACGCGGCATAACCAATCCAAGTAGCCGTCAGCTTTGGGTCAAACGCGAACGATTTCTTGTGACAAAAGTAGTTGGCAGCCAATTCCGGCGATGTTTCGAAAATCGCTACTAGAAGTTCATTCTGCTTCGTGCTGGACCACGGCCGTAATGTCTGGATAAACTCCGCCAACAGCGAATTCCGTACAGGTACATCGTTCTCAAACTTGTCCATCCACGGAATGCTATCGATGCCAAAATCCACAGGTTGATCATCGTTGACCGCTGATGGTATCGCGTTGGGATCTACGCCCTCGGGGTAATAACCATGTTCCGATCGACGAACACCAGCGTCGGAATTAGTACAAGCAGCGGTCAGGAACGCATGGGCTGATTGCTCGACTGTTGGGCGCTCACGCTCTAATTCACTCTCGTGCTCGGCAGGGACTTCAGGATAGCCATAGAGCTCCGCTATCCTGATGAGCGAATGCGCATTCAGGATCTTAATCTTGATCTCCTTTGGCAGCTTCTTGTCTAAAATAACAGAAGCTCTCAGCGTATCTAAGATTTCATGGATTAATGAAGGGGGGTCCTTTCTAATGTGCCTCATAAGCGCCGCCACAATGTCCTTCTGGGATAATAGATCGCGCTTTGCTTCAAGATGGAGAAGCTTCAAGCTACTTAAAAGGAAGCGTATCGCGTTTGTCCTGACAGACGGTCGCTTAGGATCTTCCACGCCTTCTCCTAGATATCGAAGACCTATATTCCTCGCGAGCGATTTAAACGTATTATTCCTAGCTCTGAATATTGGAGCTGCAAGCGCTCCACCATCGAAGCATACCGCTTCTCTGAGAAGCCTTAACGTGGGTGATATTATGAAATCTTTGCCGTTGTCGGCCGAGAGGTTTTTGGCAATCAGCTCTTGCTGCCGTTTCTGGACAAGAGTCCGACATATCCCTAAACCATATGACACCAGATTCATTTTTCCGGAGAGAACTTTGAGAAGAAGCGCGAGGACAACCGCAACGGCGGACATGACATTTTCGTTATTTAACTGTGCAGCCATGCTCCATGATTCCATTATATCCGGTAGATACACGGGGACTTCGTCTTCCTGTTCGCGTGGCTTCACCGAGTCCAAGAACTCGTGTAGTATTTGAAGCTTCTCGGAATCCTTGTCTTCGTTGTTGAGGATGCAATCGAGGAGGTTTTTGAACGATTGGAGACCTAAGGTCAGATACTATCAGCATTATGCAGTCTAAGAGATAGCTGCAAAGAGATAGCTGCAATTGAATTTGAACCAACATACCGTGTCTAGCTTTTCGAAGGTCTTGCTCGAAAGCTAGTAGCTCGCGAAGTTGCCTTCCGGTATAGACATCCTCAGAGGTAGGAGGATCATGCACGTGGGCAGTCTTTTGCTTCTTCCCCGAATATCCTCCATCACCTCCGTAAGACTTGCGCTTTGCCATTTTATGTGGTTTTTAAGGGAGTCGCGCTTGACTACGGCATCATCAGGATGATTATTAGGCACTCAATGTTTGAAGCGCACTGGACGAAACAGCTAGTTAGTTAGTAATTGTCGAATCTAGAGTTTATGGTATGATGCGTTATTGAGTAACGGTTTTCTTGCTTGCAAATGCTATGGAAATTTATCAGCTAGCTTTCCCTCTTACTCAATGTCGCATCCAGGAATTATGAATTTCATCTAACAGACTAACCTCAAGTAAAGGGAAAATAGAAAATATCTTGAATTGCCGACTCTGACCGCTCCCCCACAATTGCGGATTGGGCTTAGTTCATGCAAGCAGCAATATGGATCCATAGGCTGTTGGAAAGTTCCGCGCCGAGGCCGTCCAGGTGGATCCACTACGTTCTAATAAGGTTTAAACCCCGGCTTCTGGTAAAGTAATATCTATCCAATCACATGTAATAGTTGGTATTCACAATGCATAAAGAGGTACATAGTTAAAGTAAACTTATAGGTACTAGGTTAATATATTGTGTTATTCCACTTTATTCTCATCCTCTATACCAACATCATCACCAAAACATCCAAGTCAAGGGTCATAATGAGTCATATCATATACGGAGCATCACTTCGTCGCGATATAAACGCACGAATAGCTTCCTCTACTCTACACACGACAGATATACAACATTTCCAGAGACACAACTCCCTACACCCACCAAGATGGATATCATACTACTTACTCCCCACCGCAAATCAGGCCGTTCGCTACGTTACCCGTAAAATGCCAATTACATCACCTAGGTATCTCCCAGCGCCTGTAATCAATAGATCAACATGCCCGTGCTCTCGTCCCATATTAGGTACATATATCCTATCCTGACGCCTACAGCATATCACCATTCGACGAACTCCCCTTATGCGGTAGGAATGAGTTCGGCACCTTGGGCACCTGCGGCGAGATCTGCTGCTGGCGCGCACGGAACAGTTCCCGCTGCCTCTCGGCGTCGCGTCGTCCGCCGCCCGTAAGCCGGCGCATATGCGTCCTCGTCGTCTGCGCGATCGGCTTGATCATGTTCTCCAGGAAAAACGAGCTCTCCGGCGCGCCATTCGGTGGGCGGTCGTCGTCGCCGTCGGAGAAGACTTCTTCGGTTAGTTCGTCGTCGGAAGTCAGCTCGCCGAGCTGAGGTTGGGTCCACGACATCGGTGCCGAGGGCGAGGTTATCGAACGCGAGTGCAGTCCCGGCCGGGCTATTGCCGCGGGATTGAAAGCACCTGGGTTCATAGTGTTGGGCTTAATTTCTTTCGACATTGGCACCCGGTCTACAAAGCCGTTTTGGAACGACGTATTGGTTGAAGCTTGGTGTAAGATGGGCAAGACGTCGTCATAGAGGCGAGCACCGGACTCGTAGCTCTCGGGCGAGAATTCCGTCACCGTTCTTGATGATCGTCCCTCACTAGGGGACGTCTGTGACATATCATCGAAGAAGTCGTCTAGACTATCCAACTTGGTTACCAAGTCGGCCATCTGGCCATCACCCTGGACATCATCCGACATCATAGTATCAGTTCGTTCTGGCATCTCAAAATAACCATATCGGTAATCATCGGCATGGAATTCGACCTCAGGTGTCGGTGTTGGGTCTGTGGCCGCGCCATCCTCAGGGTTTGCCTGACACATATAGAACGCAGCATGTATATTGGCCCGTGTATTCTCCGTCTTCTTTGCCGGGACCGGGATCGACCAGCCAGAGTCTTCCGGAATACCAAATAGGCTCTGAGTTGTCTCATAGTCTTTCCTATCTTTAGACGCTGCGCTGGTCATGCTCATACGGACGTAATGTTTATCCATCGGAGTGCCAGACATGGTCATGATATTGTCAAGCACATCTAGCGCTTCCATGCAATACTCGGTCTGTAGAAGTCGGAAGAGCGGGGAAATCAAGTCAGAACCATGACTAGCAATTTCGGGTTTGCGCATCTCAATTTCGGGAATGATAACGCAAAGTAGCCTCATAGTCATGATCTTCACCGAAGGTAGGCTGTTCGTAAGGAAACCTAATAGCATTGTTAACATCTGGAAATCGAGCTGCGGCAAGAAGATTTCGCGAAGTGCGGCGAGAAGCTGGACTATGAATTCTTTGCTAGAGGCGTATCTCGACCCCATAAAAGCTCCCAGAGCCGCGCATATCGAAGACAGCCCTTGCGCCTCGGCTACCGCAAACAGGATTTCCGCGGTTTGCAAAGTTGCCTCATCGATAGGGCCATGCTCCATAGCCTGCAAGAAACGTGGAAAGTTACCAAGGATGGAAAAGAATAGCCTGTTGTCATTTCCGATAAGATCACAGCTTGGTAGCTGAACAAGCTTATCCAGAATGTTGAGTGTGGGCTGAAGACAAAGAGACGATCTCAGACCCTTATAGAGTAAAGGTTGGACGCCTTCGAAGGAACCCTCCCACCTTGGAGGTTGGCCTTCCATAAGGGCATTCCGAATGCCTGGGGAGTGGAAATCAAGCTTTTCCAAGAACTCATCGAGCATCTCAATTGCCTCGAGAAATTCAACCTCGTTAATCGAATCCAGACACGCACATGTCGTCCAGAATAACTGGGGGAAGGATATGAGTTTCTCCGGCTCGAGCTTCGAAATGAGGGTTTTTAGAGTTGTCAGGATCTCCATAGAGAATGTCTGGATCTCGGTATCTTCATCCGCAATGGTATTAGATAATCGAGCAAGCATGTCGCCAAGCATCAGCTGGTCGAGCGAGGTGAGGATACAGCGGAAGATCTGGAATGAACGACAAGCGAGATGTCTGACCGGACACGAGGTTGCCCAAGTTAACGATAGACGACTCCACTGTTCCTTGATTCCTGGGAAAGTGATTTCAAACGTCTTGACAACTTCCGCGGTCAGATGTTCCATACTCTGAGGTACCTTGTTATCACGGCCGTCAACTTTGCCGTTGCTTTCTTCGTAACCCCAGACAACAGCACGGTCGTGGCGTCGAATTGCATCAACCACGTCCTCGACCGACTTTTTTGTTTCCATGGGAGTACCCTCATCCATTTTTGAGACAACAAGCTCGTGGATCAAGTGAACTAACATTTCCCGGGCTTGTTCTTGAACGAGAGGCGTGTAGTGATCCCAAAGTACCGTGATGACTTGTAATAAGACTATTAGATTATCGGTATTAAGTTGCACAGGTGACACCATCAAATCAACCAAGAGTATTAGGGATAATTGTCCCAACGAAAAGCCTGCCTGCTTAGTTCCGACGGGCAAGGCTTCTGACAAATCGGCGCAATAAGGCAATTGTAGTTGGCTGAGATCAGGAGGTGACGGGACAACATCTCTCTTTTCGTTGGGGACCATGGCTTTAGGAGTGATCTGCATCAGCAGAAACTCTACCACTTTAATGCCCGGCGTGCTAGGAGTGCTTGATAGGAACACTACTATTTGTTTGGCGTACTCGACGAAGTTTTGCTCTCTCCGTTCCAAGCAGAGAGAAATAATGAAATCAAGCACAAGCCGGACGTTCCCAGGAAATGGACCGGTGGCGAGTGCTTGCCAGAGCGCCTGCACCTCGTTATGAAGTGCGGCGCTGGACTTGATGGTGACTTCAAGTAGATTGGCAAGGAGTACGTAAGATTGAGCCGTGGGCCCTCCATTTGGATCGACCTTTAATTCAATAGTCTGAATCCAGGGCAGGATGACGGCTACGACATTTCGCTGCGCACCTGGGGGGAGATTCTTGAAATAAAGTGTAACCTCGGAAAAGATATGAAATGCGAGTTCGGGATGTTGCTTTGCGAGACGTTTGGAAATCTCAAACTGAGCTAACTTGTAGACAGCCTTAGTCTTATCCGCGATGCTGATCTCGAAGTCTCGGATCTTGGAGTTCTGGGCGGCTTGCTGCCTCTCCCCGAGGGCCCTGAGAACGTGTGCTGACTTGGATCGGATATCGCTTTGGTCGCTTCCTAGGGTAAACAAACACAATCCTAACAATTTCCAGAATGGCGACGGGTAATCGAGATGTTCTAGTAATACCTCAGTAATCACGGTGAAATAACTTTCAAGCACCTTCGGCACTTCTGTGAGGTAGCACCGCGCGATGCAGTGCTCCAAGAGGTAGGGATGGTCCTGGTTATAAACGATCAGGTTCTTTATGGCTCTTCTCCCTATAACATTGACCCGGTCACTTCCGGAGCTGAAAATCGATTCCACCCAGTTCAGCATCCGTCTCATGTCGAAATGAAGTGTAGCACCGCTCTCAGTGGTTACACTGACTGGACCAGCACAAAGGCTCGCCATAGCGCTCAGAGCTGCCGTCTTTAAATTTCTCTTCTCTATTTCCATAGCTGCAGTAATAGTGCCTCTTTCGCCAAGAGATTGCTGGTCAATCAATGACTGTCGCATCGTATCTTCCCTTTGGCGGATCTGCATCTGGTTTGGTGAGAACCCACACCAGTCTTCCATCAGGGTGAAAGAAGACTTCCGCGACTCAAACGTCATCCAACGAGACGGGTCTTTCGTACGGTTTACTCCCTCGAAAAGCCCCTCGACAAGGCCGCAGTAATGGCGCCTCAGCTTTTGAAATTCCCAATCCATCTGAACCTCGCCATCCATGAGGAAGAGCTTCAGGTCCTTCGTGTACGTACAAAGATTGCTGAGGATCCAATCATCTTGGTAAACCTCGGGCTCCTTTAAAAAGTGGCAAGTCAACTTATATACGTAAGTGATCTCTGTCCGCAACAGGTCTGTTTTCCGATTTCTACGCGGGCCACTATTGGTTCGCTGGTGTATCCGGGCGCGTGCTTCGTCGTTACATCGGGATACTTGTCCCTGTAGCTCCTCGAGTAACGTTCGATATATGTTAATATTGATCGAGCCCATAGCAAGCACGACAGCTTCACGAACGGAAGCCGAAGAAGCTAAGAGCAACGGTATCAAGAATTTGAAGAGCGTCCTAGCCGATACAATCTTGTCGGCGGTTTTGGATACTTTCCGCGCATGTGGGCTACTTTGCGACGTGCCATTTATAGTAGTACCAGCCTCGGTCAAAGTGGTACAGGCAAAAGTCAAGTACAGTTTCCATTGTTCAACAAGCACGTCAGGCTGCGTCGTCGGCGTCCTTCCCGTGTATCTAGCACTTCCGGGGTCGGATCCATAATAGAGACCCCGAGTTGGTTCTGACAGAACAACTATACCCTTGTACATCTGTAGAATTCGGTTGCACACTAGATCCCGGCCGATAGTCACAGTAAAGGGACATCGATCATAAGCAATCCGTATGAAATTAGGGAAAATCTTAAACCAGAGAGTTGTGTCATATGAAACGTCGCTGGTGCAGAGCTCAATTAGGGCCCCTTTGTTGTTGCTGTTCTGCATGCCTCTTTGAAGTCGGCTTCGTTCTGCTACAGATAGATGTTCGTCCTTGAAATTCATCACTTGCACCGAATCATTTTCTAGGATATCAATGAGCCGAACTGTGTCTTTCTCTTGCGTACTGTCTTTGCCCAGGGCGGCATCGAACTCGACGATCAGCCGGAGGACCGTGATCGCAAAGTGCCGTACCCTACGCGATTGCGAGCACAGGAAGAACAAACCGCGGGCCTCTACGTGTTCGACTTCGGCCCAGATGCTAGATAAATCTAGTTTCATTCCCCGCTTATCGGTACCATTAGGGTCTCCAATATCAGATGCGGCATCTTTAGTTTTCTGACGTATCTCGTCCCTCCATATTTGTAGCAACTCGACGTAGAGCCGTAAAGTGCTCTCGATATGACCAGGACCAAGCATCCCCCCATCAGACATCGTAGAGTAGCGGTCATCAAAATTGAAGATAAACCGAGCAAATCCTACCGTGACTTGGTGTGCATATGATTGCCGGGCAATAGATTTGAGAGATTGGGCAGAAGATTCAGCAATATTATGCTGAACGTGTGCCGTGCCCGTACAGAGAAGATTAATCAGTGAATTAAAAGGTATATCAGCAGGGAGACAACGAGGCAGGGCCTGCACGGCAACATGGAGAAGTTCGTAGAAAGCTTGCTTTTGATCAGCAGGACTTGGATGGTCATCGCGTCGTGAAAAGTTGAAAGTCTCGGAGATGGGCGTCTTCGGTCCTGTTGGGCTACTGAACTTCTCATCAAGCGCAGCCTGGCCTCCGAAGGTATTGTCGCAGATGATGGTAATTTTACCGAGAACTTCCGAGAATTGTTTATAGCGGGTTTTTGCGCCGTCGCTCAATGATCCGACTTGCACGGGTTGCGATAGTGATTCGTCGCGATCATATGTGAGCGGACTTGCGGGCACCATGCTGGAAGTTGAGGCCGATGCTGGTGAACTCGGAGGTGCCCGATCGGAAGCAGATGGGAGAGGATATTGCTGAGGAAATGGAGGTCGTTCACCCTTTTCTAAGTCGGACATGACTGCGAGAAATGCCCTGATCCCGATGACTATCTTGTCCGGCTCTAGCTGTTCAACTTTGAGGTCCTTATTCTGAATAAGGTCGGCATTTATTAAAGGAAAGATAATGGTATCGCAACAATATTCTGGGTATTTAAAGCCAATGATTCTAATAAGTTGTATCAATGGCCCTGTGGAAGCCGTATCCGCGGCCGAAAATGTACGCTTGGTAGCAGGCAAGACGAGTTGCATTACTTCGTCTAGTTTTCGCCCAGCTCCGGCAATAGTATTAGTAGTTCGATATAGATAAGCCCATACTAACCGTGAGATAACTTGCAGGCACACAGGACGCATATTGCGATCTTTGAGTCTCGGCTGGACTGTTCGAATCAGTTGCAACCATTGGTTACTCAGATTCTCCGGAGATGACACGCAGAGCATCGTTGCTGTCAACGGGAAAGCAGACTGCCAATGGCGCGGCTTTACAAACATGGTTGCCAGACGAGGGCTAATATTGCTGAGCACTTCGGACCACTTCAGGTAAGAGAAATGCTTGTTAGTAGCCTTAGCTGCGATAGGGAGGAGCAGTGTATCTAATATCTGGCAAAACGCCGCCTTCACCTTCTGGCCGTGGGATCGGGCAAACAGTTTAGCTAGGGACACAAGAAAGTCGCAGGCTTGATCCCAGCTTTCGTCGGTATCAATCTTTATATGTAAGTGCTTCATACCCCCTAGCACCAACTCCACTTGGCCCTCGGGGTCCCTATTCTGAGACGTCGAATTCCTTACGGTAAGTTCCTGGAGGGTCCGGTCGAGATCGTTAATAAATCGATCCGTAACGCTGGTAAAATTGATCACGCTCATGGCACCAAGCAACTGGGCGAAAAGGTTCCAGTTGGCCAGCTTGAGGGGGGATATGTATAGTTGCTCTATATCAGCAATCTTTAGCTGGCCGAATATAATAGCTTCAAGCTTATCCTCCATCTCGGGAGTAATGGAACTGAGGCTGCTCTGGGTGATGACTTCCAGGAGGACCCGGCACAATATAAAAATAGAGACAATAGATCGACGCTCGGCATGGGCTGCTTCATTCTGCTTCTCCGCGAGGGCGTGCGGCACGTTGGACGTCCCATCCCCAGGATTCCCGGTAATGAGTTGCAACGGCTCTGTATTACGCCTGACAAGAGACGCCGCGGGGAGGTTCGATTTCATCTGATGAAGTAGACTACGTGCCTCGTTGGCTGCTTCACTTTTATGTTTCCGCCAGAGCATTATAGAATCGATTAGTGGTCTTGGTTTCTGGCTTGCAATATGCCCAAGAGCTTCAATAAAGCGGTCAAACGCCGGGTCAGCTCCGGGACCGCATATCTGCTCAATTGGTGGTTCGGGGTCGAAAGGCACTGTGATACATTCCTGTAGTTTGTCTTCGGCCATAGCAATAAACTTAAACTCTATTAGCAAGTATCATACGGATATTAGGGTACCATCGCTACTAACTGATGTGAATAATACATGCATGGCATATTCGCCCACAGTCTTCGGTTCATCCCTGTGGTGTCTCGACGAATGCGAGTGGTGATGTGTATGATCGCGCCGGGTTTTGCTATGCTTCCGCTCGAGCTTCTTCTGAGTAATAGTACCTCCAATATTATTCTCCTGGCTGGATTGTGTTCTTTCTGAGTGGATGGATACGCTGGCGGTAGTGCCCGACAGGGCAGTCGTCGGCCGTGAGGCCATCGTAGGTATCGAGGCTGTTGACATTTCCGAATCTAAGCGGTTCATAGTTGACATGTCTGACCGTTCTGGTAGAAGCCCAGCACCTGCGGCTGCTATCATTTGCGGACTGAGAGGACTCGAAGACGAGCTTGCGAGACTCCCATTCCTCGAATGTTGGATGCCATGAACAATAGAAGTCTGACGATGGTGTCCGTACGATGCAGCCTTCGGGTCAACGAGACGCTCGAATATGCCGCCTGGGCCGGAACGCGACGCGGCCGCACGCAGGCCAGGGGATGTAGTGGGGGACGATGCTGATTGGGGCGATTCAGGGATGCCAGCGAGTGCACCCGACTGTAATTTCTCAAGCGAAGACTCACGCGAATGCGCAATGGCTCGAGAAGCAGAAGAATCGAGGGCTACAGGTCTAAGAGTATTATCCCAGCCGCCATTATCGTCTTCGTCATCATGGGCGTTGTCGTCGTGAGTATTAAGTCGCGGAGGGGATGGTCGCGCAGAGTACTTTAACTGATCGTGGAAGTGTTCCGGCAGCGTCTGGGACGGAGCTAGGTAGTGCGACAACGTTGTCAGTAAAGGCAAAACAGATAAAACAGACAACCATCAGTGCGCAGGGGAAATCTGAAATATGTTGGAGCCCCCCTCGACTTGTGAAACTGTGAAACAAAATCCGAAAGTGGGAACATTTATCAAGCGTTCAAGCGTTCAGGCGTCAAGCGTCAAGCGTTAAGCGTTAAGCGTCATATATACCCTAGATAACATTTCAATATATCGCATATTCGTTGGCGCGACATACTCGAAATATTTCCGGGGGACGAAGCGCGGAATCCACCCACCCATTGTTGAGCTTCGATGCCCATGATATGATAATATAATAAGATACGGCAGGATTCACAGACCCTAATAATGCGGTCTGGTGGGACTAGGGACTTGTTGGTGCTGTTAACGAGTGGAGGAGAAGAGCTTGACGATGCTATTGATGGTAGTATTTTGGGTGGACGACGATTAATGATGAATGACGGCTCCAGTCTATTTTCTTCCCTTCCTCTTCCCGTCTTCCCCTCCAGGTCCTCTTATTTCTGATCTGACTTACCTACGAAGTACGTAGTATGGCCTGAAAATGTGATGTAGGATATCCCATGCCGCAAGTCACTGCATAATGCGAATGGGCATCTCTGGAATCGAATTTCGTCCAACAATGCCTGATGGCCGACTAACTTTTTCGTCTCACTGGCTAACCCGTCTGTCTCGTGGAGCTAGCATAGCCAGATAAAATCGTCAACCTGAAGTCTTTTTTTCTTTCGTCGACTATCACTCTCCATCACCAATTAGATGCTGATACTGTACGTACTGTATCCCTCTCCTGAAGTCCCACCCTAAAGAACTTGGGTCAATCACAGTCTTTTTAGCTCGTCCCTCTATGCAGGGCAAGGGTCTTTCTGCAAGGGCCATATCCTATAATGATCCACCCAAGACCGCCAGCGGGAGGTTGGCTGGCTGGTTCAGGGACTTCAGGTACAGCCCCGTACATCCGATAGAAATTTTACGTACTGTACGAGCACACCACGTGGCGTGAGCCTTTAAGTGCATACGACCTTGACATACATATGGTGCAATCCCAGCTTTTCTGTGGTTGGGTTATCCTTGTACTATGTAAAGATGTATGATACCTTATGAGGTATGTAAGTATCGAAGATTATACTCCTCTTCTTGCATGTATTCATTATTGCAGTTGCATTCAAATATGACGGGAGCAAATAACGAGAATCCGTGTCCCATACCGTGAACACGCTAAAATACCGTCAAATAAATATCTAAATACTATTATCAAAGATGGAATGTGCCAAAATAGATGGTAAGAAATTTTATCGTCACAGCGATGACTTAGTAGGGGATAAGACACGAGACAGGTCATAAAGGAGGTGACAAATAATTCATCGTGTTTGGCGAGCGAGGCATTGAATAAAGGGCTCTTTGAGTACTGGGTAATATTAGTCCGTTATCATGAAATGTGCTTCAGTATTACAGTAAGAAGCTCCTATAGGAACCGGTTAATTCCAAGTAGTAAATTGTAAGGTAGTTATGGCAACTTAAAGCCATATAATGTTTGGTAATATATTTCCAAGTAGGTAAGCAACTTGCATAAGTAGTACCTTGCGTACAATATCGAACTCAACTCAATAGCCGTGGGGGTGATCGATCTAGCAAGGCATACAGCGGTATCGGCCGAGATTTTAGAAGGATATAGTCGCATTATCGGTCGACTACCTGGTAGGAGTAGGATGTGGTAGGATTACCTCAGCGGGACTTAATGCCTAGAAAGACAAAAATAACAACTTGAACCCCACACGCCGCAAGTTAGTAGTATGCAACTATGCAGCTGCGGACCGTGGAACTCGAGTGTCCTTTCCCGATTAACCCGGACGGGATGAAACAAAAATAGAAGGTAAGGTATAATTCTACCGATTAAGATACCGCTTTCTCTCGGATGTTCCGGACAAAATGCGGGTCCGTCGCTCCGGTCATCACGGAGCTTATAGTCACAGTTCGCTATGTAGTGTAAAAGTGTGTGAGGCGCCATGTTTCTTATTATGTTATACCAAAAACGCCTATCTATTCGGATATCGTGTGCTCACTCTTCTTAACACCGATATGAAGTAAGCAGGCATTTAGGAGGTAAAGCATTTGATCCTACAAAGCTGAATGGTTAGGGCTTACGGGTCATACCATGCAGACCGCTTTTCGAAGAAGAAAAATTTTATAGAAAAAGAAACAACTATCAAGAGAAGACTATGTGTTGGGTCTCCCTTATAAGTTAAGATGACTCGTACCAAAAGGAGTCGAGTGAGACAAGCCAAAAGGAGTCTAATAGATGCCGAACTTGAATAGGTGCTATCGGAGAGGAGACCAACTAGCCGAAAAGCGATAAAAAAGATGTTGAGTTAGGGGATATGCATAGAACATCCCAGAAGGCTACAGCGATACCTTGTTTTGCTGCGGGCTGCGAATTGCCGAACTTGGGAACAATAGCACATGCGGTAACCGATTGGATGTCCCGAAGTCAGTTGAAAGATTCGGTGCTCGGCTTCGAAGGGTTGCTTTGTTTCGCGTCGGGCTCTCGGGGGAGTTATTGTTGCAGCCACTATTGTTCAAGCTATAAAACTAGCTACGTCGCGGCAATGAATAACGTCCGATGTTGAGGAAATTGAGGTATGTCGCAGTAGCCACAAAAAGACAGCGTTGAATCTCGGAGTTTAGGATATCTGAACGGGAAAGAAAACGTGTACATTATGTACATCCATGATCTTACACACATGTACCTAAGAGGTACCTAGACTACAGGTTTATGTAAGGGTTTTGCTTAGGGTAATCCGTGCATCCATAGCAATTTCGGAGGGTCTAAAGGAGCTTAACACTGGATAACTTTACACTAAAATTCATAGTACTTACTAAGGTAGCTAGCCTGGCTACCTACCTGGGTACAAGTAATCGGGAAGTATTTGCTAGGCTAGCCGTATGCAAGAGTTATGTACATAGTGGCTCTTAAACAAGTACCTAGCCACGCTTATGCTTATCTTGAAAAGAATCCCACCATTACAAGTCACACATTCATTTCCTCCGGTTCCTCTTCCATACATACCAGACATACCTACACACAACTACCCGCAAGGCCTTGCCACGCACACAATTCAAAGTCAGGGCTTTGCTCCCTCTCTTTTATTCCTAGCGTAATCGTATGATTTCATCGTGTTCGTACCTTGCTCGCAATTCACCAGCAGGGGTTTCTCTCTTTAAGTATTTATTGCTAGAGCCGCGGCCCTGTTCCGTCGTACATAGAACCTAGCCTGGCTTTTCTCGAGCTGAGAAATTCCTAGGAATTCCCAGGAGTTCCCCAAACCTGCCGTTCCTTCCTTCGGCCGACGACGCACCAGGACACGTTGCACCGTTGCAGCGCCTCTCTGGAAAAAAGCCTTAAATCGGTCTTCTAGTCGCATAACCTAGAACTACCTCCGACATAGTGGTTCCGTTTCTCTGTTTACCCACCGCCCGCTCCGAGGCGCCATCCTCTCGCCGTGGCAGAACTACAGAAACAAGTCTATTCTTTGTAGACAAGCTGTCAAGATGGCTCAACTAGACACCTTGGACATAATTGTCCTGGCCGCCATCCTCGTTGGCACGGCCGCCTACTTTACCAAGGGCAAATACTGGGGTGTTACCAAAGATCCATATGCCAATGCATTCGCCAACGGAAATGGACTCAAGGCAGGAAAGACGAGAAACATTGTTGAGAAGATGGAGGAATCCGGGAAAAACTGTGTCATCTTCTACGGTTCTCAAACTGGTACCGCTGAGGACTACGCCTCCCGATTGGCGAAGGAGGGTAAGAGTCGCTTCGGTCTAGAGACTATGGTGGCCGATCTCGAAGACTACGACTTTGACAACCTCGACGAGATCCCCTCCGACAAGGTCGTTATGTTTGTTCTAGCCACGTACGGTGAAGGAGAGCCTACTGATAATGCTGTTGACTTCTACGAGTTCATAACTGGCGATGACGTGTCCTTCTCCCAAAGCTCAGACCCCGCTCTCGGAAATCTCAACTATGTCGCCTTCGGTCTAGGAAATAACACTTACGAGCATTACAACTCTATGGTCCGCAACGTCAACAAGGCCCTAGAAAAACTAGGTGCCAACAGAATTGGCGAGGCTGGAGAAGGTGATGACGGTGCTGGTACTATGGAAGAAGACTTCTTGGCATGGAAGGACCCTATGTGGGCTGCATTAGCAGAGAAGATGGGTCTTGAAGAACGTGAAGCCGTCTACGAGCCTGTCTTTGGTATCGTCGAGCGCGAGGGTCTTACTAAGGATTCTCACGAGGTCTACTTGGGTGAGCCTAACAAGATGCATCTCGAAGGAACTGCTAAAGGCCCCTTCAACGCTCACAACCCGTACATCGCCCCCATTGCCGAATCTAAGGAATTGTTCTCTGTCAAGGATAGGAACTGCCTGCATCTGGAGGTTGATATCAGCGGTTCTAATCTGACATACCAAACCGGCGATCACATTGCTGTCTGGCCCACCAACGCTGGCCAGGAGGTGGATCAATTCGTTAGCATTCTAGGACTAGAAGATAAAAAGGATACCGTCATTAGCGTCAAGGCTCTTGAACCCACAGCTAAAGTACCATTCCCCACGCCTACCACTTACGACGCCATTATTCGATACCATCTTGAAATTTGTGCACCCGTTTCTCGTCAATTCCTAGGCACCTTGGCCGCATTTGCCCCCGATGATGCTACCAAAGCAGAAATGGCCAAGCTCGGCAGTGACAAAGACTACTTCCAGGACAAAATTAGCAAGAATCACTACAACATTGCCAGAACCTTGAGCGTCGTCAGCAACGGACAGAAGTGGGAGAATGTCCCATTCTCGGCTTTTATTGAAGGTCTCACTAAGCTTCAGCCTCGGTACTACTCTATCTCGTCGTCTTCGTTGGTTCAGCCTAAGAAGATATCCATCACCGCTGTTGTTGAGAACCAGTTAATCCCCGGTCGTGCTGATCCCTTCAAGGGTGTGGCTACCAACTACCTGCTTGCTCTCAAACAGAAGCAAAACGACGATCCTAACCCCGAGGCCTTCGGACTCACCTATGAACTCAACGGACCAAGGAACAAGTACGACGGTATCCATGTGCCTGTACACGTTCGCCACTCGAATTTCAAGCTACCCTCTGACCCATCTAAGCCTATCATTCTTATCGGAC